TTCAACACCAGCACCACTAGCAGGGATAGATAGAATGTCCCTTGCTATCCTAGCTAGACTGCGGCATATCCGCTCCAATGGATATGCCGCAGTCTAAGCCAGACCAGTTGTCCAGGACGGTATCGGCAGGCAGGGGCAGACTATTATACAAGACGTAGCTCCCAGAGCTACAACAGGATCTAGAACTGAAGTTCAGATGAACAGGTCGGAGATCACGTGCCGTGATCTTCCTCTAACTAAGCATCACGGTTCGCACCGTGACACCGAGCAGAGAAGTACTATGTGGCTAGGGTGGTTGGGGGGCATTGATTTTTACTGTGGCGATACCATATAAAATTGCACTGGTATTGAAAATGGACTGCCAAGGACTAAAATCTTAAAGGGGTTTAGACTGCTGTGCCAACAGTATGTCCCTTAAAGGTATAATAGATCACTACATAGCCACCGCTCTTTTTAAGAGAGAAGTTAGTGATTTACGCGCTATCAATAAGAAGTAGAAGTAAAAGTGAGCTAGATCCCGGAATTAGTATTAGCTTAAGTAGACTTGACTATATAGAAAGCTTCTTAGTTAAGTACTGAGCGGTGAGCCCCTATTGTACGTATTAAACCCGAGCAAAGTCTGCGCTCCCCCCCCCCCCCCTCCCCCAAAAAAACGAACTGCTGGATTCTCTGATTCATGCCCATTAAAATCTTCTGCGGTCTTTTTTCAAAGGAGAGAAACCCACGGGTGCTGCCCCAAGCCCTAGCGCACGTGGTAGACTGGTACTAGATTGTGTTTTACTCCCCAATGTTGAAGCCCGAACATTTCCTATTGCGAGTTTTCGCCCAAATTTCTTGTTGGGGTGTTGCTCTTCTTCGTCCTCGTCATCAAACAAACCCCGATCCCGCTGACCTCCAAGTTTGCGTTTTCTCGGCTTGGTCTGTTCATGCTCAAATTGCTGATGTAGTTCATCAGTTTCAGTGGGTGGCACCCTGCGATCTAAATGGTGCGTTGGTTTCTTGAACTCGTTTTCCAGTGCTGAGACGGGAACTGATCCATCACGTGCCTTTGATTTCATGGATTTTGTGATTGGAATGCGGTCTTCTGTTGGAGATAGTTGGCGCCGGAGGGCAGAACCGATACGCCTTGGTTCCCCAAAAGTGCTCTGCTTGCCAAGTAGTCCACGAGGAGTGTCGACATCCCCAAGAATCTCGTCTTCGTCTCCGACTGAGCTCATTGGTGAATTCGAAGGTGCCCCTGTGCGGTTCAAGAATGGAGTGATGGAAAACGCCGACTTATCTCCAGGCACAGCCGAATCCCTCTTCGCTTTCTTTTGCACACGTACAGCCCCGGGAGTTGCAATAGTCACACCGACATGGCCACTCGGGCCAGGGCGCTGAAGTGGGACTGTTCGAGAACTGGATTCAGAGTCATTTGCTGCGTGTGGTATGAGGTTGCTTCGCTGCTGAATTTCAACCTGGGCTTCCTGGAGCTTGTCCTTGGTTGACCGCAATTGCTGTTTGAGTGAATCAATATTTCCCTCAAACGTCGCCCGCTGATTAGCCCATGCTGAGTTCTGATTGTAGCTGTCCAGTTTCTGCTGCTGTTTGGCTCGCAATTCTCCAGCTAGTTCATTCCGCAACTCTTCAACTCGAGCAGAAAGCTTGGTAATCTCTGCCATTTGCTGTGATGCCTTGGCCTGAGTACGTTCATGGGCATGTTTTTCATTCTCAAGTCGAAGCTCCAGAGAGTCTATTTGCCGTTCCATCTCATGTCTCTCGGAAATGATGGCTTGATATGATGAGTTTTGCGCTCTTAGCTGCTCAAGCTCTGACTGTAGCGTCGAGAGATCATTGGAGATATGAATTTTCTCTGCAAGGATAGTATTATAACTGGCCGAATTATTTTTCTGGGTCGAGATTTCTTCCTGTTGCTGTCAACACAACGGATAATATGTGCAGTATCCAGATTGAGTTAAAACTCACTTTGAGTCTGTTAATCTCGCTCGAGGATGCCCGTGCTTGAAGCTCCAAGTGATCAATTTCCTGGCAAGCCTCCTGAAGTTGAGCACATGCCTCAGAGTCAGCACTTGTGAATCCCAAAAGATGCCCATTTGCTTCCTCAAGCTCCAACCGGAGAGCTTCATTCTCGAATTTCGAGATCAAGAGCTCCATGCGCCGTACGCGATCCCTCTCGCCATCCAGAAGGCGAGCAGAATCCGAAAGAGTCTTTTCAAACTCCTTGTCTAGATGCATAGTCCTTATGGACATTTCAAACTGCATGATCAAGTTAGCAACTTGAGCATATATCCATCAATCCAGGAAAGCTACATACATCTAAGGCAAATGCTTCTTGGGCCATTGCCATGACGACAGTGTCCGGAAAAAGATAGGAGACAATTGAAAAGAACGGAAAGGCCTTTAGATTAAAAAATGCCTTCCCAGAGCAAAGGGAAAACCTATGTAAGGATACGTGGTGTAACTTTCAATGCTTTCAAAATACGAAATCTAAACTGTCAAGGAAGACGCGCCGGTGTTTTTGGTGTTGGGGCCCGGAATTTATTAAGTAAGCCGATATATGCTCGATTACGTTGATAGTGGACACCTGGACTTTACAACTCAACGTCTTCAAACATCATCAATTGCAACCGATTGATGGTTTTTTAATCAATTGCACTCTATAAATACCCTCTTTAAAGCTGTCCAGCTTTTTGTCATGCCAAAATGAAGCTCTGGGCAGCCCTTTTTTTCCTTTTCTCGGTCGTGTCCGGTGTCCTGTCTGCGAGTTCAACACCGGACAAGTTTGCAAGATATCAATCCTTGTCTCATTCAGGGCCCGTTGATCTGGACAGTGCGAAATATGAAGATCTCACCTCTACACCTCGAGATTACTATGCTGTAGTTATCTTGACTGCCACAGATCCTCGCTTTGGCTGCCTCCTATGCCGTGACTTCGAATCAGAATGGAACCTGATCGCCCGAAGCTGGACTAAGGGCACCAAGCCTGATGATCTCAAGGTGGTGTTTGGAACACTGGACTTTGATAATGGCAAGGCCGTTTTCCAAAAGGTAGGGCGTCTTTACTCAAGACTGAGCTGTATGAAACTCAGCTAATCTGAGCAGCTCATGCTTCAAACTGCACCTGTACTCCTTGTCTTCCCTCCTACCATCGGTCCATTTGCACGGGTTGAAGGAAACCCCCTCCGGTTTGATTTCACAGGGTACGTTTTTCTACTTAGGCTCTTGCGCCCAGCCCCTATCTCACTAACACATCAATTCCAAACAGCCCGATCTCAGCTGACCAGGTCTATTCTTGGATTGTACGTCATTTGCCGGAAGGTCCTAAGCCTCAACTAATTCGACCCATCAACTACATGCGAATTGTATCCGCGATCACAATCCTGATGGCAGCTGTGACTGCGATTGCAGTTCTTTCCCCCTACCTGCTGCCAATTATTCAGAACCGAAACCTCTGGGCTGCAATCAGCCTTATCGCTATTCTTCTGTTCACAAGTGGTCAAATGTTCAACCACATCCGCAAGGTTCCATATGTTGCTGGTGATGGCAAAGGTGGTATTAGCTATTTTGCAGGTGGATTCCAGAACCAGTTCGGGATGGAGACTCAAATTGTGGCTGCCATATGTAAGTGATAACCATGAGCCTCGTAAATAGTGATCATCGTGTTCATGCCAAGTTCCTAAGTTAACCTTATATTCGCACAGACGCTGTTCTCTCCTTTGCTACGATCGCACTCGCACTGAAAGTTCCCCGGATAGAAGATGTCAAGGGACAACAGCTGGCTGTCTTGACTTGGGCAATTGTTCTTTTTGCAACATACAGCTTCCTTATCAGTGTCTTCAAAACCAAGAATGGTGGCTATCCATTCTATCTGCCTCCGTTCTAAAAGCATTCAAGAGTCTACTTGCCCAACTGTCCGAAGACGGCAACACATGGAAAACATCTTGATCTACAAATGATCATTGATATCTCAGTGGCTAGATCTCTCCAGGGCGTCCTGTATACGACAAACAGAAGTTGAGATGGATCAAAACCACTTGTAGGAAGCATGGTGCTGTGCAGATTTTGACCCATATTGCCTCCTTTCCTTTGCTATGAAATACTTTGCATACCAAAGACATCACAGAAGGTTCTTTTATAAATATCACGAATAGCCTCTAGGCACACCTAACCATACCTAGCCTTAAGAGGTGAGAGGATGAGAGACCATGGGGGACTTTGGGGGCTACACGTAGCAAGTATATTAGTAGACTGATTAAACATATAAATATTGCAGATAAGTAACATGTCTTCTACAGGCAGTTCATAAACTCACGATGGTATTTTTTCTTTTTTGTTTTCTAAGACTTCATCTGGTATATATATTGTATCTTCCATTCCTCGGAATAAAAGGTCAGGCCCGTACGACCCCACCCAGTGTTCTCGCATCCTTTCCTTTACAACCCTTTCCCGTATGAACCCTCACCCCCCCACCTTTCCAGGTTGGCTTGAAGTCTTGTTGACTTCCTGAATTCGAGCACACCTAATTGCACCGTCATAGCTGGGTTCAATAACGACCATGGCAAATCCTGACGATGCCCGTATGGGCAAGATTCTGGCGTCATCAGCCACGGGCACAAGCTTGTTGATTTTGATTCAATTAGCATCCAGGATCTTTACATTTGCCTCAAACCAATTGATCTTGCGCACTCTTTCACCGGTCGTATTGGGAATAGCAGCACAGCTGGAGCTCTTTCAGGTTTCGATTCTGTATTTCTCAAGGGAAAGTATTCGGATGGCCATCCAAAGGCAGCCTATCCCATTTTCGCCTGACAACAAAAAAATTTCCCTTGAAGCAGATTTTGAAGTGACGGATTCGCAATCTGTAGCATCTCAAGCAGTGGTTAATGTGTCTTATCTGAGCCTCGCCCTTGGGATTCCTGCCAGTTTAATGTTCACTATGCTCTACCAGTGCCTTGTCCCAGAGGAAGCATCAAATACCGCCTTTTTCTACCACAGTGTCATCTTGATCGGGGCTTCATCTCTCATGGAACTCAGCATCGAGCCTTTTTTCTCGGTAGTGCAACAACACATGCTTTACGAGAAACGCGCTGCTGTTGAAATGCCAGCGGCCTTTCTGAGAAGTGCGGTGACATCCTCTGCCTTTATATGTGCCTCCCAAGTCAACCATGACCTCGGTGTGCTACCATTTGCTCTTGGTCACCTCAGCTACTCACTGGCACTTATCTGTGGCTACTCGCTGGTCCTACTCAGAGGAACCAACACAACCCGGTTCTCTTTCTCATTGACACGTATACAATCCAGGTAAGACTGGCCTTATCTTGTCCAATCTATAGCACGAAGAACGACACGGTAACCATTTATAGGAACCCCTCAAACTACTTTCTGGGACGGTTCTCACGCGAGTTAACGTCGCTTGCTGCGAATGTCTTTTTCCAATCTTTGGTGAAGCATCTGCTCACACAGGGCGACACTATGATGCTTGTAGCCCTTTCAGGGCTGGAAGATCAGGGAATATATTCTCTTGCGTCGAACTATGGCGGGCTCATTGCACGGATCATCTTCCAGCCACTGGAGGAGAGCAGCCGGAACCTATTCTCGGCCCTACTGAGCCGCGGTGTGGATGGGAAGCTGAAGAATGTCCACATCCATACTGCCAAAAATCACCTTGTAGATATTCTACGCGCATACCAAGTGATGTCAATCTTGATATTTCCGTTGGGCCCAATGATGGTTCCCCAATTGTTGCATATCCTGGGAGGTCGTCTATGGGCCTCCCCCAAAACCAGGGACCTGCTCTCTGTCTATTGCTACTATATCCCATTTTTGGCATTTAATGGGATTACCGAAGCGTTCGTGTCGTCTGCAGCAAATTCGCAACAGATACGGAAGCAGACGGCGTGGATGGGTTTCTTTTCCGCCTGTTATGCCTTGGCGGCGTATATGTTCCTAGAAGTAGGGAACTTGGGTGCGTATGGATTGGTCTTGGCCAACATTGTGAATATGGTGGTTCGAACCTTTTGGAGTTACAGTTTTATCAAATCGTACCTCCATCGAAATGGATGCAGCCTGTACACGAAAGAAGTGGCCATTCGACCTGCTAGCTTTATTCTGAGTGCTCTGGCGAGTTTGTTCTTGGGCGGATTTGGCCTACAATTGGGAATTATCAAAGCATGCGTCTTGAGTGGCAGCTATGCTCTCCTCATGTGAGTACTGGTCTGGTCTGATGTTGTTTTGTTCTTCACGCCTAACCAAAATAATAGAGTCTATGTAGAGAGGGAATATTTAATGGGTCAATTGACAAGGCTTCGTCATAGATTATCTTCCAGGTCCCCCAGCAAAGGTACCAAGTCCGAATGAACCCAATTAATCGTCAAATGTGATCTTTGTCGCTGTTTTTTCCATATCAACGTCCTTGTAAAAGGCACCGTAGACATCGTGCTGCTTCTTCTTCACTGTTGTGCCAAACTTCAACAGCGCCTCTGGCACGTCTTGCTTAGCTGCCTTGAGAACATTGATCAATCTATTCACAGTTAGCATTGTCCCAATGGTTTTCGTCGAAGAAATTAGAAACGTGGGCAACATACCCGCCGGATAGTCCCTTGTCAGTTTCAGTAAACATGGTGATGGCAAGGCCATCGGCCCCAGCACGTCCAGTTCTTCCAATCCGGTGCACATAGTCCTCAACGGTAAGAGGGAAAGTGACATTAATCACCAGTTTCACATTCGGGATATCAAGGCCACGCGCTGCCACATCGGTTGCGACAAGAACGGTAGCATTGCCCTTCTTGAAAGCATCGAGATTTCGGAATCTATCTGATTGGTTCAAATCGCCGTGAATGCCGGCGACTGCAAATCCCTTGTTTCTGATGAGATTCTCAATGCGCATAGCCTCTTTCTTATAGAGGCAGAAAACCAAGACTTTCTCGGGCGATTGATTACCACGCTGGGATTTAGTAAGCAGTTGTACGAGTCGGCCCTCCTTCTCCCGACCATCAATAACCTCAACGACTTGCTTGATCCTTGTGTTGGCTCGAGGATCCGCAGACGGGTCTCCGCCGATGGTGACAGTTACCGGGGTCTTCATAAAGGATGCTGCGAGATCTCGAACAGACCGGGGCCATGTTGCCGTAAACATGACAGTCTGTCTCCTGGAGACGGGCATTGGCTTGACAATGTCCTTGATATCCTGTTCAAATCCTTTATCAAGCATGCGATCTGCCTCATCCAAGACGAGATAGGTGACCTTTGCAAGGTCAATCGAACCATCATTCAGGAGATCCTTGAGACGGCCAGGAGTGGCAACCACAATGGCAGCCTTTTGAAGAGCCCGACGCTGTTCATCTTTAC